ATTTAATAGATGGTTCCAAAGCAAAGATAAAAATTGATTAATTAAAATTCATTCTGGGGATGGGAGTGCTTTTTCAGGGTTTTTTCCCCTCTTTCTATAAAATGTGGCACATGAGGACTACGCTTTCACAAACATCTTATAAAGTAAGCCATTTAGTTTTACAGAAAGAGAGCTGAGCATGAGAGAAATTGACTTGACCCATGCCAGCTAGCAAAACTATGTCTTGCATAAGATTTGAACAACCTCAATTCCAGCAGTCATTACTGAGCTCTCACTAGATCGCTCATGCTATTGCTGTTGTTCTTGTATTCCTTCTAAATTGCAGAGCATGGAGACTAATTCAGTCATTATTGCCTTAATTGTAATGAGAATAAGAAGTATCAGTTCTACAGATATGTTGCTTGATAGCAACTGGGAGAATTGAGGAGCATCTTTTAAAAATGTTAATGGGTAGGTCAAATAGGGTAAGAAAAGAGGGAGCCATAGGGAAGCATTAAGTAGTCCATAAAAGTCCTTGCTAAGGTCAGTTCAGAGTAGGTAAGATTTTAAGTAAAGAGTAAGAGAATGAAAATTAGATAAAGGCAAAGAACAACAGAAGCATTTTGCTGACAGCAGAATCTTAATGAAAATTGGCACACTAAAAAGCAATTGAGCAAATAGTTTGAAAATCTCTCACATAGGACTACCCTGTCTTGGACTATAAAAGTAGCTGTGTTGTCCAGAGAGGAGTTTGTACAGCAGTGCTGCTGCTTCTGTCCATTGATCTCCTTCGCAAGATTACAATATGTCTTTCTTTGTATTTGTATTATCTCAGAATAATCCTGTGAATTGCTTGTGGATATTTGCTATTTTTAAAAGATTTTTTTTTTTTTTAACTTTGGAAGGGATGGATTGCTCAGCTGTTCTTTGCCTCTGAACCTTACTAGTCAATCCACATCATTCTTGTTGGCAAAGTGTGTCTGTATTAGAATTCTCTCTAAATGATTTCTCATTTAGTAGAGATTCTCTAACAAGAAAAAATCACGCTTACTATAATTTTACTTATTTATTCAATGTATCTCCTGCCTTAGACAAGAACTCAAGAGGGCTCACAAAAATTTGAAAATATAGTACAAAATATTAAAAGCTAAATACTGTGAATACTGAGAGCCAATGTGTAGTGGTTAAGGTGCTGGATTAGGAACACGAGACCCAGGTTCCAGTCCTCCCTTAGGCCTGTAAGCCAGTTGGGTGACTTTGGGTCAGTCGCTCTTTCTCAGCCCTAGACCAGGAAGTCAAAAATCATCTATCTGGATCAGCATGGTAGATTATACTCCTTAACCTTCAGAGAAGAAGTCTTCATTTGCAGTGGATTGATTTGGACTGATAATAATTATAATAACTACAACGATGAATACTGAAATCAATTAATGATTAAACACCAGGTGAAACAGATTTGGCTTTACAGATTTTCTAAAAGAGATTGGGGGACAAATGCAACTTTGAGGAGATTATATTCCATAGCATAGGAGCACTGCCTTGCTTCCTTCTGATAGTTGGGAAATCCTCAGAAGGCCTTTTCTTGCAGATCTTAACAGGAGAGAGACTACCATAAATAGCTAAGCTGAGGCTTTTAGAGTTTTAAGTGTTTGTATATTACATTATTTTTTTCTTTAAAAAGGGTACAAAAAATACAAAACTTTTCATTTAAAATTAGTCAAAAAAAGCTATATACAAAAAGGAAAAAATACAATACCATTTCAAATTCTCTGCTTTCCTACAATATCAAAAGCAATAAAATTGTCTTTAGGAAACCATTACAACTTATTTTTTGAACAACAAATTAAACTATACAGAATGATATTGTCCATTTTTTTCTCTCCAGTGATAGCCAGTTCAAAGGCTGAGGGTTGAGAAATTTCATTTGGGCAACCTTTAGAGTCTGGCTCACACATGTCCTTCCAATAGTACATAGAATTATGATAGATTGCGGTAGTTCTTGGTCTTCGTCTCTTAGGTTTCCACCTAAACAGAAAATATGTACTATAGTACTATATATAGTACCCTTCCTTGACACTGCAAGTTACTGATATGTAGTTTTATAATAGTTGAACTGAGGATCATTCTATGATGATGAATTGAATGGTGGAAAATCCAGGACAAACAGAAGCAAATTGTTCACTCAATACTTTGCTAAATTAAGGAATTTGTTCCCAAGAGATGAGGTGAGCCTCGCCATCCTTGAAAGGATACTATGCAAAATCCATAAAAGAAAAGGTTATTAGTGATTATATTATATCCAGCATGCTTTGTGTTGTGAATACCAGTTGCTTAAAACATGAGCAAGCACATGAGAGCTATTGCCTTTATGTTCTGCTGATGTCCTTCCCAGATGCATCTGTATCCCCATAGTGGGAAGCAAGATGCAGGATCACAGAGACCTCTCATTCAGGTGTGGGGTTCTTAATAAAAGTGACAAGATGCTTCCATAGGATACATTTCCCAACGCGCCTTGTCACTCATTTCTAGCCCATTTCCCAGACATCACCAAACTCCCTAGTTCCCCATTTCACCCAATGCATTCCTTTCCTTTTCCAAGCCTTATAGCATTCACTTAATTTAGTACAAGCAATTTTGCCAAATTTGGCTTACATTTTCCTATATAGCAAGGTTGCTCTTCATGGGAGAAGTGAAGGATGTACTTATCACCCCCTCACTGCTGACCTCTCAAATTTGATTTGGGTTTTGGAATATATTTAGATATAATCAGTTCTAAGAAACAATGCAGTTATTAATTACAGAGAACTAGTGCTTCTCAGTGTACACGCAGAGGCTGCCTATTATAGTCTAGCACAATCAATGCTTCTGTGATCAATATTTACCATATTACATACAGACCTTCCATCCTGCTTTGCACATTGTTTCTGCAGTTGGAAAACTGACTTTTAGTTTTAATAAAAAGTACCTCTGTCATGAGTGTGTATCTGTATGTGTCCAGCATACATGTGACAGTATACAGACATATTGTCCACACATACACACACACACCCTACCCAAATGTCCATGGAATCATAGGAGGGATATTTTAGGTCATCTAGCCCAATTCCTGTTGAGTTCAGGAATCCACTAAACAATTCCTGATAGGAAACCCCCTAGCCCTCCCTTGGAAAACCTCCAACTAGGGGGTGCCCATGAACATTTCAGGTAGGTTGTTTCACTGCTAAACAGCTTTTGTTGCCAGAGAATTTCTTCTAATACTCAGCCTTAATCTCCTTTTTTTTCCATTTCAGTTCAACAGTCCATGTGCTGCTTTCAGTTTCAACAGAGAATAGAACTGCTCCCTCTTGCATATTATAAACTTTTAGATATTTATAGATGATAATCACATCTGTCCTTCTCTTTTCCAAGCTAAACATGTCTAGCCCTTCTAAGAGTTTCCAGACTCCTTATCCTGGTAGCTCTCCTCTGAATTCACTCCAGCTTCTCTATGGCCCTTGTCTAAACAGCAGAGTACTGAGGAACTATTGTATCCTGTTCTCTGGATGCAGTGCTTCAGTTAATACAACCCAATTTGTATAGGCCTTCTTAGCTGCTGCATCGCGCTAGTACTCCTAGATCATTTTCACATGGAGTGCCGTCAAGGCAGGTCTCTTCAAGTCCATACCTATGTAGTTCATTTTCCTACCTGATGCAAGACCTTACGCTAGCCACAGTTGAGCATCATCTTGCTGGATTTGTCTCAATTATCAAACCTGTCACTATCATTTTAATTGTGATTTTGTTCTGTGAGGTATTAGTCTCTTGCTTGGTGTCATCTGTAAATTGAATAAGCATCCTTTCTCCAATATTCTTTAGGGCATTTGTAAATTGTTGCATAGTATGGAGCCAAGCAGAGAGCCTGAGAAACTCCCACTTGGTATTTCCCTCTAGAACAATACCAATCCTTTTAGGAGGACTAAAGTGTGATTTTTAGTTTGTAATTCTTCAACCAGTTGAAAATCCACCAAAGTATAGTACTGTTCAGTATACATTTATCCATCTTGTCCACAAGAATATAATGAGAGGTCCTGTTCACAGTGTTCCATTAGTTTACCAGAGCAGTCACTCTGCCATAAAAAAAGATAAGTTCAATCTGAAATGACTTGTTGACAATTCCATGCTGGCTCCTAATAATGGTAGCATTATTTTCTAAATGCTTGCAGACACAGTGCTTGACAATCTGTTCTAGTGTCTTGCTCTTAAAGGTTCCGGTCCTCCCTCTGACCCTTTTCTGGTACCAAGTTTGTCTTTCTCCAATCTCCTGGCATCTTACCAGTTCTGTAGGAGTTTGTAAAGATTACAGTCACAGGTTTTATCACTTCTACC